CTACTACCCATAATCCAAACCAAAATAACACAAACTGGGTTGTTAATTGGTCGATTATTGGTTTAACCGGTAACTGGTTTATCGTAACACAACAAACATCTGCCGAATGCCGACATCGAGTAACAATCAGTATAACCGGTTACCGACTAGCAGGTAACCGGTTATTAACCAGTCACCCGAAACACCAACGTGGGGAGAGGAGAGGTTGTTAGTACTCAGTAGCAATCGGTATAACCGGTTGCATTGCTGTTGGCTTGTTGCTGCTTAGATCAAGCTCTATTGTAGCTGCTCCTTTAACACAGAATCCTTGAAATAAGCTTCTCCTCTACTATACTCAAGCTTCCCTAACAATTAACCTTAACACAAACAAACCCCCCAATTCAATTCAAAAAATCCCTCATATGAATTCGGCTAACACAAAGCCACAAAAAAAACCCTAATTGAGAACATCGATCATGGAAGCTCCGACGACGACGAGTTGAAACAAATCATGTAGGTTGCCGAGAAGGCAGGTGCAGATGACTCAGGGCTAGGATGGTGAGCTAGCGACCAGGCTTCCCCTTCTCTGCGTGGTGAGGCGGGGACGGAGAGAACAAAGATGAAGAGAAACGATGAGGTGGAGTCAGCCATCGTCATGGCGGGTGAGGATGACGCAGTGTTGGGTCGGGGAAGCAGGCTTCTCGTCTTCTCTGAGTGGTGAGAATCGTGAGATGGATATGGAGAATCGTGAGGACGAAGATGGAGACTGGAGAGAAATAGAAGCTTTGTCGCGTGGCAGCAGAGGCCATAGGGGGAGAGATCACAAATGGGGCTGGAGCGGATTTGTCAATCAAAACGACATTGTTTTGCTTCTGTCACTTGGTGGATTTTCGGTATTCGGTTAACTTGTTTACTGATGATAAATTACCGGAACCTATCTGGTATACCATTCAGTCCCTTTCGCCCACCGCCAACTGGGTTTAATCGGTTACCACCGGTTATCGGTACAGTTACCGGTTAAACTGTTATCCGGGGAACCGTTTACAAGCCCTACACAAAACCTCCATTTTTGCGTTTGGAAGAACAAATCGCGAGCCTGATCAATCTGACTATGGCGAGAAAACAGCATGATTTTCCTATTATAGATTTCAGTACAAGCACAACAAATTTATTGATTCTTTATCTAGCTGAAAACCAACAGACTGCTCAAGTGATCTCTTTTGCTTTATCTCCTAATGAAAGAACCATACAAAAACAGGAAAAGATGGAAAAATCATATAGACTGGCCATGTCTAGACTCTAGATCGATAATATAAAAATGCAGAAAAAATTTATTTACCAGGTGAGATAAGGGAAATTTTACTAGCGAAGCGATCAAAGAAGTTGTTCAAGATGGCCTCTACCTCGTTACGGTGAAGATCGAGCGCGAGAACCTTCCGAACCACTTGGAGAGGAGACGATGTTATTATCTTTATAGTGGTTACTAGATAGAGTAATGGATATTGGAGTATGTTAGGGGTGGGCATTCGGTCGGTTCGGTTTCGACCGAACCGAAATTATGAATACAGGGTCCCCGAATTCGAACCGAATATAATTCGGTTCGGTCGGTTTAAACCGAATTATAATGCATAATCAATGATAAACAATAAATATCAATGATATCAATTATTTTTTAAGCTAATTGTATTTTCTCACTTTTAAAATATTTTTCACCCCTAATATAAACAATAAATATTAATTATATGCATAATCAATGATAAAACAAAACTTTTCAACACATAAGTCATAAAACATTTCAAAAATTTAAGTTTAAAAACAACTACAAACATAAAAATCCACCATTTGGAGCTTGCAATTATAGTATTTCGGTTTTTCGGTCGGAAATTCGGTTCGGTTGAAAGAACCCTTATTTCCAAACTATCCATATTTTCCTTCCGAATTTCGAACTGAATATCATTAATTCGGTTTCGATTCGGTTCGGTTCGGGTTTACCGAACCGTTTGCCCACCCCTAGAGTAGGTGTAAGAAATTAAAAAAAAAGGTGGCTTCTCCTCTCATATTTCTTCGCATGTTAATATGGTCATTAAATTTTTGTTTCACTAGGATCTTGGAAGCTGGAAATTTCATTTTGACGTATACCAGGGAGGATCAGAGGGAAGGAGAAGAGTGAAGTTTTGTTAAACATGACCTGCTTACTCCAAATTGTACCGGACTACACCATACAATACATGGTCTGGACCGTATAGTATATGGTATGGTCCATAATCTGTATTCTATCTTCTCAGTCTAAACCGCAAATCATAGATGTGATCTGGTCCGTACCGCACCGTTTCCACCCTAATATTTGGAGCATTGTGTAACACTGTGGTTTGGAATGGAAACTCTTGTTCTTCTAAGAGTGGCTCTACCGAAACTTGGACGGTACATGAAGAGCATATTGCAAAGTGAGCTAAAGTTTACAGCATGAAAAATATTATAGATGGGCCGTGTACTATGAAGAGCCCAAAAAATAATGGATTTCTTTTTATGAATCGCTATTTGCCGCCCGTCGTTTTACTATTTGCCGCCCATAGTTAGGAAAAAAAAGACGACTTTGTCCCTGCCCTATTTTAAAACCCTAACCCTATCTATCCACCCCACCCCCACCCCCAACCTCCTCCCGCTCCTACCCCCACCCCCTGCCGAAGCCCACCTCCTCCCCCAACCTCCTGCCGACCCCACCACCACCTCCTGCCGCCTCTGCCGACCGCCACCAGGCCGGAGCCGCCGCCGACAACCCTTCCTCCTCCTTCCTGCCAACCTCCCGCCGCCGACCTAGCAGAAGAGGTGCCACAGCAGCCGCCGCCGACCGAACAGGTAACTTTTTTTTTATTTTATTGCTCGCCGCCGTCCGACACACCGGACCGGTCTGATTGGATTTCTGATTCGGTTTGAATGGTTCGGTTTAAAGAAATATTTATTAGATATATTTTAAATACAATTGTTAGTATATTAATTAGTTTAATATTGATAGTTGATTAATTAGTATATAATTGTTAATTAATTATATAATGTGTTAGTTTATTAATTGGGTAAGTTGAAATAATTAGTATATAATTGTTAATTAATTATATAATGTGTTAGTTTATTAATTGGGTAAGTTGAAATAATTATTTGAATAACTATCTATCGTATTTAGTAAAGTAACTATCTAGTTAAATTAATTAGATAACCAAGTTGTATGTATCATAATTAGTAATTGATAAATTATGACTATGAAGAAATTGCTAATCTAATAATTTATTATAACAGATTAATTGATAATTATTGAATATGCTAATAGATAAAATATCTAAATAATTATTGGATTAAATAAATTGTAAATAATTGTTAATTTTAAATAATTATCTATGATGTTTAGTTAAGTAATGAGTTAGTTGAAATAAATATTAAATAACTACCTATCGTATTAAGTAAAATAACTATCTAGTTAAATTAAGTAGATACGAAATATTAAGTAGATAACAAATTGTATATATCATAATTACTCTATGAAACAACAAGTAATTGCTCAACAAATAATTTCCAATAAGATATTAATAGAAAATTATTGTCTATGTTTAGAGATGGCGTCATCTGGTAATTCTGGAGGATCACGTAGTTCTGGAGGAGCAGGAAAGAGATTGAAAAGATTCGTTGGGCGTAACATTAGCGCTAGTGTGAGAAATAAGGACCCAAATGATAGAGATGAGTCACAGCCACAGCCACAGGTGACACCGATGAGATTTAGGGCAGACGGTTTCCCTCAGTTTGATTTTCAGTTGCCTAGTATGGCTGGTAGTGGAGCTGGTCCCAGTATTGATCATCATACTTCACCGTTTGAGCCTTCAGACGAGATTGACGATGAGTCGGAGGAGTATGAGTCGGATGCTGTTGAGTATCGGATTCCACGAGTCAGTCCGATCAGAGACAGAGGTGCCCCCGGCGGATCGTCACATGTTGCTACTGGGGTTCATGCTGTTACTGGGATCTATAGAGACCATGCGGGGCATTTCTATAGAGCTCCACAGCCTGGTGAGGGCCAGAGTGGTACTGCTGATGTGGGAGAGGCCTGGGAGCCTAGAGGACCGTGTCCTGGAGGGCCGAGCGATCCGAGTTTGCTCCGTAGCTTTCGTGGGCATGTTGCCCACCGTCTGTACACGGGAGAGGCTGATAGAGGGGTGATCACTTGCTACGACAGGAGTTCGAACCTTTGCCACGTTCTCGGCGGTTATGAGATAGCAGATGATAACGATAGGACTATCGTAGAGACATCGGGCCTTGCTCACCGCGTTGATATCACCTTCTAGAGCGAGTTGGACCCTGCTCTCATCTCGGCATTTGTGGAGAGGTGGCAGCCGGATACCAACACCTTCCACATGCCGTTTGGAGAGATGACGATCCTCCTTCACGACGTGGCACACATTCTTGGGCTTGCGGTTGAGGGAGAGGTGATGGTAGTGGATCCGAGGCAGTTGGAGAAGTGTGCACTGGAGGCTGACATCCGAGCACTACTGGGATTAGATCGTGACGAGGATGAGTACGGGGCGCAGGTTGGCGAGGTTGCTAGTCTGTCTAGGTGGTACAGAGGATTTGGTTTGTTGGGTGTGGGAGCTTTGACTCATTTGCAGCAGTCTGGTCTGCCAGCTAGAGAGGCTCAGTGTTACCTTCTTTTGCTGCTTGGGTCCACACTGTTCGTAGATAAGAGTAAGGATAGTGTTTCTGCTGTTGTCAACTTGTTTGTGAAGAGGCTGGATATGCTAGGAGATTACGCGTGGGGGGCAGGAGCACTTGCTTATCTGTACAGGCAGCTTGGTATTGCCTCCCGGGCGGAGGCTAAGGGAGTGGCGGGTTGTCTGACTTTATTACAGTGTTGGATTTACAACCACTTTCCTACTTTGAGGCCTAGTCGGTTGTAGCCACGAGAGCTGGAGCAGGGGCAGGCAGGAGCATTCAGGTGGCGCGGTACAGCACCCCGGTCGAGTAAGAAGAGGGATGCACAGATGCTGGCTTATTATCGGCAGGCGATTGATAGTTTGACCCCTCAGTCAGTTTGTTGGACTCCGTATGGTCAGCGTCCTCATCTGACGGCGAGACGTACCTTGTATCAGGGCCTGTTCAGATTTGCAGAGATAGCAGAATATTATGATCCCACTAGGTGCCTCCGACAGTTAGGCTACGTGCAGAGTGTACTGTATCCCCCGGAGCGTCCGCTTGTTGTGCGTCCACCTGCTTCCACGCTTGGATACTCTCTTAGCTACCAGTCTGTTTATGATTCGTATTGGAACAACTTGGGGGCGCATAGTGTGCATCTGGACCTTTTTTCTACTCCGATACGACGTAGGCCATGGGAGTTTGCTGAGGATTACATGGGGTGGTACATTAGGCACTCGCACCCAAATATACTGAGTGACAGTCGACCTGTTCACGACATCTCGGATGCTGATACAGTTAGTACAATCATATTTGAAATTATTTGTATTAAGTTAAAAAAAATTTGATTGTAACTAATATGTATTTAAATTGTATGGTTTTTGTTTACAGTTGTCACGCGAGATGTGGATTGAGATATCTCCCGTGATGGATGCTGCACAGGGGAGTAGGGAGGAGTGGATGGCTAGCGCCAACGAGTACTACGACTTATGTCATGGAGTTGCGAACATGTGGCCCGAGTTTAGGAGGAAGTTGGGTTTTCTACCACCTCCACAGTAGTTGTATGATTATTATGTCATATGTATGAGTGTTATTTGTTGTTTTTAGACGAGTTGACTTATGTGTTCTACTACGACTTATGTTATGTGGTTTTCAGTTGCTTATTTGTTGTTTTGGGACTATGACTTATGTTATTAGTTGTATCTGATTATGACTTATGTGGTTTATGTTGTACTTCGGATGTTTTTATTATATCATGCTTCCATGTGACGTAAACAAACTTTATTACAATTTATTTAAATTGAAGACGTTCATTACAATTTATTTAAATTGAAGACGAGTACAAATTTATTTCTTTGGAACCCTCTTTTTGCGTGATGGAAAGCTATGCGTCGCACCCCCAAGATCGAACCACATTTGACTAAACAGCGCGAAATATGTCTCCCATCCATCCACGCTTTCTTGGTGACCGCCAGGCCACATGCCATGTAAAGGGGGCATCGGTATCTTGTCCGCCGGGAAAGAGAGGTTGATCCAATGATCCCGGACGAAATGCAGAACAATGACTCCTCTAGGGTGGGTTGCCCCAGATACGTTGTCCACTGGCAGAATGGTACAGTAGTACGCACATGGAGTTGGGTAGAGGTAAGAGATGTACATGACAACAGTCGAATTAAATAGTGTGGCAAATACGAATAGATCCACACCCATCATCCAATGATGTTGAGTCGTTGGTGCTGTAGTAGTGATGTCAATGCGTCTGATTGCATCATTGATGCCTTCACCGTAGATGGGTGCGTATCGCCAATCATGCTCACGCATTTCTTCAACAAGTCGTCGCCTCACCTCTGGGAACCCTTCTTGATTACCATATAGTGCAAAACTAAGTGCACGAAACCCACAATGACTGTCTGGCACCGGGTCGTGGTTGGCAATGATAAGCGGCCGAATGAAGACAGGAAGCAGTTCCATGTGTGCGTAATCAGAATGGGGGCTGCTGGGTCCAGGGATATCTGTGAAGGAAATAGATAATCAGCACAAATTCGACGTAAAATATTAATATAAATATCTACACTTATGAAAAAATTAAATTGTACCTGTGTCAGGACAGTTGTATTTGTTGTTTTCTTCTGGATCATCACACTCCTCCGCTGCATGGTCGTCTGACGGGTACTCGTCTGTCTGAGTCCCCGTGGACTTGGTACTGGTCGACTTTGTAGACCCCAACGTTGTGCTTCCCAACTTCTTTTTCATGCTTTTCTTCTTGCCTCGCAGTATCTTTTCCCACCACCCTTTAGTTCTTCCAGTTGATTTTTTGGCTGGGCGTCCCTTTCTAAATTCGTTCACTTCTGGCTCGTGAATGTTGTCCTCCGCCGGGTGGAGACCGCGAAACACGTTCTTTGCTGCTTTTTTCGTTGCCTCTGGTCCTCTGCGTACAGCCTCGTCAACCAAATCCTGAAGGTGACATCTAGCCTCCTCCTCCTCCTGGGGAACGTACTCCTGAGCATTGGGTGGATGCTCGTATGACAGTGTCCGCCAATATATATGAATATCACCGGGGATATGTCTCTATGTCTCGCGCTCTGCCATCCATAACTTGACATCCACACCTCAAGCCGTGTGTCACAGAGAAATGACATGCACATCGGGAGTTCTCATTTTTTTCCAAGCGGGCAGCCAATTCTTCTTCAGCCTCCTTCATTAATATAATTGCCTGCATGCTGACCTTCCTTCTCAAGTATGTGAATGGTGTACCACCGGATGCTGAAAGGGTTTTCTGTCTAGAGTTTTCCAACATCATCCTAACCTGCCCGAGTTGGTTAGTAATGTAGCGGTGGTTTCCTTTCCATACAGTGTCCATAGATCCCCGCGAGTTGTGGAGAAAAGTTTTCAAAGCGGAATGTGACGACTCAACCCTGTTTGTGCTCGTATTTCCTAGATGAAACACATTTTTGGTATGACAAACAGCCCACTTTTCTCGATGTTGCCACCACACTCCCTGTATGTATTGCAACAGACGTGGTTCGTAATTGCCCCATCTTGTCCTAAAGCGGCCAAACGCGGCCAACATACCTTGCTCTGACCAAGAATAAAGCATAGGACACCAATATTGGTCGTACGCCTCGTTGACCAAATCCATCATGTCCTTCCCAAATATTTCCAAACACTTCTTCTGCACATTGGTGTTGATGTGCCAAGCACATAGCAAATGCGGGGTGCGGGGGAAGACCACAGGAACCGTAGCAAGTAGTCCACCTTCGTGGTCGATGACGATGACAGTGGGCACGCGTGGATGGAGCAATTGTTGTATGCACTGCAACAGCCACAGATACGACTCTTTTGTCTCATCCTTCATAAGAGCACAACAGATGTTGAAATTCTTCCCAACTGGAGTAGCACCTACGACCTCCACCCACGGCCATTTATATGCATTGGTCTTATACGTTGAGTCGATCAGAATCACGTACGGCCAAGCCTTCAACATCTGGATGGAAGTTGGATGGGCAAAAAAAAGATGTGTCAGCACGTCGTCATCGTCCTTCATAACCTCTGTATGATAATTCTCACGTTCAGCTGCTAGCAACGCATACTGCACTGCATTCATCTCGCCCATCTCGTCTTTCCTAGACTTGGACCCGAGGTTATACATCTGCCTTTGGGTGTGATGCCCTTTGTCACCCTTCTGCTTGTTTATTGTCCGCTTCTGTTGCGATGGAGGTACCCCAGCATCTCTCATCTCCCTCAGAGATTTTTTATCCTCCTGACTCAATTTATTCATTTGACTGTGGCCCTCGGGATAAAGCATCTTCTCATGATTGTGATACCCTCGCCTTAAACCGGTTCCTTGCTCTATCACTCCTTGTATCTCCCAGAATGAAGGTCCATCAAGAACATCTGGATTAACAGTAGTTCTTTGATTTTAATCTTGAACATGCATCCCGATCCTTTTGAACTTGTATTGCCACGACTCTCCTTGGAAGGATCCGACTTGTATGACTTCCTCTCCCTACTGCATCTGTCGCAATACATATAACAAATATCCAATACTCTTTTGTTGCTCAACTCACGTGGCTTCATCGATCCCTTAGTTAGAAAGAAACCAAGAGACATCGCGATGTTCTTGGTCACTGTTACAGCATCTTCGAAATTGTCATATCGGACGTGATTGAGAAAATGGTATGTGTAATCACCAATTAGTTCAACATTGTAAGCCATGTCCACCTGCAATTATGATTTTACAACTCGTTAGAAATGTACAAATTATATGATTCTACAAAATTAAACTAAATGCAGTAATTTAATTAAGTCTCAAAAATAATGATAATTTAAATATAAATTATTAAACCAAATTAGCTCTACGAATTAAATCTAAACACAATAAACTAATTTGCGCTACAACAAAACACAATCACTTAATTAAACTAATTGTGCTTCAATTGACTCTACAAAATTAAACTAAATGCAATATTTAATTAACTCTAAAAAATAATGATAATTTGACGATAAGAAAATTATTTAAATATAAATTATTAAACTTCTTTAGCTCTACGAATTATATCTAAACACAATAAACTAATTAGCTCTACAGCAAAACACAATCGCTTAATTAAACTAATTGTGCTTCAATTCACTCTACAAAATTAAACTGCATGCAATAATTTAATTAACTCTACAAAATAACGATAATTTGACAGTAAGAAACTAATTAGTGCTACAACAAAATACAATCGCTTAATTCAAACTACATATGAATTTAACTATGTAAAATAGAAATAAAAGCAACAAATTAAATATAAATTATTAGCTCTAGAAATAATAACCTATCTCAAATTTAAAAAAAAATATAACACTACCGACTCCGATGCATCCGGTCCCCGGCGACGGGCGCTGTCCGACGCCAGCGAGCGGACGTTGTCCGCCTCCGGCGAGCGGACGGGCAAAAAAATCCAGGAAGTCAGTGGGGTTTACCTGCTTCGCTGGTTCGACGATGGGGTACGGCTGTCGTCCAGTGCCCGGCGAATTATGCTGACGAGATTGGTTCGGTGGTCGGCGACTTAGGCTGCCGTCCGGTGGCCGTGAATCTGGCTGTGGTGTTTGTGGGGGGTTGGTGGTCGGGACTCGGGTAGTGTGTATGTTGTTTAAAACACCATTTCAGCGAATAGAATATAAGGAAAAATTTGGAGGGCAAAATTGTCTTTTTAGTGTTTTTTATGGCGGCAAATAGTAATTACCGGGCGGCAAATAGTAACCCTCTTCTTTTCACCTAGTTGTAAAAATATTGGGATTTGGTCAAAGAACTTGTTCTTGTTGCAACTACTAACTACTAGAAACATGTGGGCTGCGATGCGGTGGCTACCGGCGTCGTCGGGACGAACCCACCACCGCGTGGAAGGATAATGCCCCAAAATTAATTATTAGCAAATTATTATCATTATGCTTTCTAATTTCATTTTCTTTTTCTGTCATCAATCCATCCAAAAACAACGGGCCGTTTCCGGAATTTCGCGAACTAGTCGCCACCCCACCACTACTGCACGACGGTTTCGCCAACTCAAAGTCGACGTGTACCGGCTAGCAAGTAAGATCCCGACATCTGTCCCGTTCGGCCACCATTAGCCAATCATAATGAAGCCCATGACGCAAACGCATCGGCAAGCCCAGAGGCCTAAAATTTGTTTTTATTTATCCGTAAATCCAAAATAAAAGCCGACAAGCGAGGGCGAGGTTTTGGGTAATTAGAAACGGACACCGGCGAGCTCGTTCTTTCTCTTCCTCGCCCCCCCTTAGTCTCTCTCTCTCTCACCTGAACTCTGCTCTCAACGATTCCGGCCGTGCCGATCTCGCCGTCGAAAAAATGGTAAGTTTGTTTCCCGCCGCCGTTTGTTTCTCTCTTGATATGTAGCCTTTTTCCTCCGCGGCATAGATCAAATTCCTTGTCGTCTGGACGAATTAGTCCGTCGTGTAATTGATCATCGAATCGATCCGATCCAGCTATAAGTCCGCCAATATTCACTTGGATCTGGGGTGATTTGGTGTTCTCAGTTTTTACTGCATGGTGTTTTTATGGTTTAGATCGTTGCCAAGTTTGACCGCGAGTGAGGGAACTAGGGATTGAATGATATTTTTAGCTCTGTTTGTTGATTCGTCTCTGGTGCAACTATCAATTGATTTTGATGATCATTCAATTCAATGGCGTTGTCCATTTGATAATTCTGATGACGAATGTTGAATCCAGGGATTGGATAACGAGTACTTTCTTTGTCGATTGCTTTATCTCTTTGGATCTTTTTGGGGATAATGAATCGATATCAATTTGTGGGGTTCTCCGTTCAGAAATTTGATGAGGAATGATGAAACTAGGGATTGCATGATGAGTCGTTCTATGTGGATTTGTCTTTTGGTGCAACATCTTGAGGAATATGGAATTGATAATAAATGGTGTTCTCATGCTGTTCAATCCTTCTTTTCTTCCTGGTTGTGTTGTCAACAGACTACATCAAAGAGACTTGCGGACAGGAAGATTTCAAAGTTCGACAAGAACATCTTGAAGAGAGGAGCTGTTCCTGAAACCACTGCCAAGAAGGGGAAGGATTACCCTGTTGGACCTTTCCTCCTGGGGTTCTTCATCTTCGTCGTCATTGGATCATGTGAGCCCTACTTTTCACCTCAATAATCTTTATCTACACATCCCATCTCAATTTGTAAGTCCTTTCGCATTTTCTCCATGGCTGCTGGAATCTTTCAACTCAATCAATCAGAATGATTTTTCGGGTTTAGGATATAAATAGGAAGAACTCTTTCCGTCCCCAGTATATCTTACTAGAGTTGGATCAAACCCGCTTTGTCAACAAACAAAATACCCTCCAGAGAAATTTCAGAATTTGGGATAGATCTCTGTGATGATGTCTTTGATAATGAGTTAGTTGTTTGCTTCTGATGTATGGGATTGCTAATGGTGAGTTTTTACTTTTGGCAACAGCTCTGTTCCAGATAATCAGGACGGCAACAAGTGGAGGCATGGCTTAAGTTTGGTGGAAGAACTGATTTTACTTTAGAGAATGACAATCTTAAAATGAGTTGTTTCGTTTGTTCTTTGTCCCCTTATCTATATAGCATGTAACGATGAAAAAGAGTAAAGATAATGTGTTCGTGTACTGTGATTTTCAGGAATCTTAATAAACAGTTCGTTCGGTCCCTCGTTATTCTTTGAGCAACAACTCCTAAGCTCGCCCCTTCTTTGTGTGTCTCACAGTCGATCCGATGTGCCCCCGAACAGTGAAAATGACACGAATTTGCTTAACAAACGGGGAGTTAAAATGCATCAATCACCAGGAAAACCATCAGTGATCAGACTGCCACTTTCAACCAATTGCAAGCAATTCAATAGTCTCTGCAAACATAACAAGTTATTCGTTCACAACATAGTCTGTACAATCAACGGCTACAAACCAAAGAAAAACGAATGCACCGTTTTCTACTTGATCGACGAAACAGGATGCAGACAGTTGCAGTCTTACAGATTGTTCGTTTGTCGATCAAAACAAAAGAGAAAAAGGAGTTTAAGAACGGAACCATACATAGAGGGAGGGAGTCTGATGAATATCAGGCCACGGCAGTAGGTGAAGGCTGAAAGGCAGTGCCACAGGCGATCCACTGCTTCTTCCTACCTCCACTTGGCACCAAGCAACTTGGAACCTTATCCCACTCACCGCTCGCCACGTCGTACGTGACCAGCCGGTTCATCTGTCTCGACCTCAATGACAGCATAAGCAAACCTTTCTTGTTGCCCAAGCAAGTCATCCTCACGTGCTTCCCGTAAAACTCCAAGCACCACAAGTTTGGCATTCTGTCTACCTCCTTCCACAGCATCGTCATCCTCTGCAGCTCCCATATACACACACACGTCGCTGCATTCTTCGTCAGCAGGCCCACCAGCATGATGCGGCCAGAGCACTCTGCCAGCGCCTGATCGTTCAGATGTAAGGGGGCAGGAATCTCGAACTGGGACCACATTCCGGAAGCCACATCATACGAGACAATCCCCTCGGGATCAGAGCGCATGAAGTACAGAGTGTTCTCAACTGAAACCACCTGAGACCGGAAGTTTAGAGATAACGGAAGCTTGATGCTGGCCGGCATTGAACCAGGTCGAGTCCACGAGTTGCTGATCGAGTCATAAACCTCGTACTCACCGTCACAACCCACCCATAGAATCTTATACGCATTCCGGTTGAAGGTCATCCCAACGGCAACACGGGACCATACCTTCACGATAACAAAAGCACGAAATCACAAAAATGAACACAATCACAAAAGTTTTCCCATTTATCAAATCGGATACATGAGCGACCATACCTTGACTGAACGAGCAGGCAGCTCTCTGACAGAACCAGTTAGAGGGTTGCAGACATAGAAGTTTCTATGGCCGATATCGAGGAAGCAGACAAGCCCTCCTGCTGAAGCCACCGGCAAGACGATCGCCTTATCTGGGAGAGAGGAAACCGTAGGGTGGTGGTACCATTTCTTCGAGGAAGGATCGTACATGGCTCCCGAGTTAGCGTTTTCGTGAGTGATTGTGTAGAACCATGGGTCGGGTTGTGGCGCTCGCGTGGAGTGGTGGTAGAAGCTCTCAGAGTGCAACAAAGAGTTCCATTTCTTGCAGACCGAACGGAACTGGAAGAATGTAGGAACGGGTAGTCTGGCAATGACGGGTTGGAAGAGGTCTTCTGGGAAATCCTTCCAGATTTCAGCTTCCATGGCCTCTGTTGTGCTAGTAGGGCAAGGGAATTTGCCTCGAGTACTACGCTCTTTCCGTAATTTCTTTGCGGGTGGAGGCTTGGTGGGTTCCAACACTGTGAAAGTTTCTGGCTTTTCGGCAGCCATCAGGAGACCGCAGTAGTCATCTGCAGAGCCATCTTCCATGTTGAGGACACAGCATCTGCACGAACAATTCATTAACTTTATACTGTACAAAAGTACTAGTTCACTAATCACTAGTGATTATGAAAACAGGTGTTAAAGCATAGAGATAAACATCAACCGAGGCTTTACTGGATCTAGGATTTACTGTTTGATGGCTTCTAAGTTCCATATTCGTGGTCTGGAAGTTTATGAGCAGTGCTACTGACTTCCATACCTCTGTCCACAATCATGATGACAACCATAGAGACTGCATCTAGTTGACAATAGTTACCAGAACTGCATTCAGCTCCTCGTATAGGACAACAACTACGGCTCCAACAGTAAGTGGGGAGATTCACAAATAAATCCTCAACAGATTCAACAATCAACACTACTAGGAGTATCAGGCATCACCCAATAAAGCTCACTACACAGTATATCAGAAAGCCAGGTTATCGTCAACAATGAGCTCGGTGATGTTACCATAATGTAGCTGGAATTGCTGGAATGAAAATTTTCTGCTAGAATGAACGAGCTCTATGGCTTGTCAGCAGAAGGATGATTAGATAAGAAATTTGGAGAAGGTAAAAAGGTTTTCGCTGATATTCTATGACTCTGCCAAGTATATAGAAAACCAGCAAAATCTCATATAGAACTTCTTTAGAATTCATACTGCAAAAACAAAATGTGTGGAACTGTTAGACAAATTCAAGGAAAATCTCCAAATGAGAAAGTAGTTACATGACAAGCTTGTGTTTCTCTTTCAGTGACAATCACAATTCGTTCATTCATACGCCCATCACTAACAATCCAACACATACATGCCTATAACACCAAAATTGCCACAAACTACAGTACCAAATAAGAGATCTTTCAGAGGGCCCCAACTAGATACATTGATAAGGTAGCATTTTGCTAGATCATTGAGCCAAATCGCCGGTAGGTAAAACCTTAAAGTAGTTAGATACTCTGGCACCTTAGCCTACAGAATAAGGTGCACCAACTCTAATTCTTGAACAATCAACAACCAAGGAACTACCAAATGAAGAAAAAGGCACGAAATATGATAGGTAAGATCAACACCAGCAACAAAATGGAACCCGAAAAACTCAGCTACACTCCACGCAAAACTGAATCATTAGAAAACGAAAATCCCGAGGTTCAGAATACATAGAACAGGCCAGATTAAGAAGAGGAGGCAATCATGAGCAGTGGAGGAAATGGAGAAATGGAGCTACAATATGAATTCATCACAAGTGGCCGTAAAGCAATTCAGAAGTAAAAAAATTCCCGGAAAATGTACAGAACTGAAACCGAAAAAAACCTCCACATTGCGTGCCATCACACGGCAGGGGGAAAATCTGAAATCCTTCGATTTTCCAGTTCTCAACTCCACCTAACTGACCGAACTCTCACACACTCACACGGACACTAGATTAACCTCGACAACCTGATTAATCAACAAGGGTTGACGCGGGAACCGCATTAAGCTCCCATTAAAGAATCTGAACCAAATATTGATATCCCCCCAATCAAAGAAGATTCGGGAATTTCGGAAGATAAAGCAACGAAAGAGATCTGCCGAGAGAGAATTAAATAGGTAGATAGTCAGATACCTGTCATTGTGAGGGAGGAGGAGGTGGTGGTTGTTGAGATGTCGGAGCGGCGGCGGAGGAGGAGAGCCGTAGAAGTTCAAGAGGTCTTGGAGCTGAGCAATGAGCTGGCGGAGCATGGCCAGTTCTTGTTCCATGCCACAGCTCCCTCCGCTGCTGCTGCGGCTTCTTCGTCTTCGTCTACTGCTTCTTCTCCAGTTTCAGAGAGAGAAGGAAGGAGGAGGAAGCCGCGGTTGGCTGTTCATCTTCATCGTTCCTCGTCCCTCCGCCCCAGACAAAACACACAACGCATAAAAATAGAAAGGACGAAGAGAGAGAATGAGAGAGAGATGGAAAAAAAAAGAGGAGGTGTTGTAAGTTGTAACCATTAAACTTATTAGTGATGGACAGATGGTAATGGGTAAGACGGATACCTCAATACCTCCATGTTATTATAGGTTGCAGTGGACAATATCCACGTAGGTATGGGGCGGGCGGACCAACCCACTATTATATGTTATTTGAAAAAAATACATGCAAATTTAGTATTTTACAATAAAATAAAGGAAAAAACACTTTTATGAATGAAAATAGTGATAATAGAATGAGTAATTAAGTCTAACAAGTTGAAAGATCAACTCTAGCTATTAAAAGAAATATGTGTAGATATTGTAACAAGTTGCCATCACTAATTAAACTATGGTTCTCCTGCCGGTTTGATTTTGTATGATTGACGTGATCTATTTGATTTTTTGAACAAAATGACGTTGTTTTGGTAGATTTTATTAAAATAATTTTTTTTCTTAAATTTAAAAGTTAAGTGTTGATGTTATTTGTTGGATTCAAGTCAGAATGTATAGATATTATTTGTTCGATTCAGTAAAAATTTTAAAAATTTTCATTAAATATGATAATTTTAATTTTATTTGGAATGTTGTATTTTATTTAAGTATGAATGTGGATTTTAGAGAGATTGTCTTCAAATATTTTATATGTATGTCTAAATTAATTAAGTGTTAACGAGTTTCTATTTTCTTACATGTTTTGCGAAAGACAACATAAACTGGTATAAACCGGTTGTACCACCGGTCGCACCATATAAGTTTCCAAACATACATAATGGTATAAACTAGTTTTCCAAGCTCAAGTACATTTCATTTTTTTACGAACGAAGGCTTAGTCTAGTGGTAACCTTTTGAAATCTTAAGTAGTACCTTTTTTTGCCAAAATCTAACTTGTATTACCAGGAAACTAAGAAGTTACCAACGTTTACAACCCATCAAGAAAACCAAAGTTTACAATCATGATTGAAACCAATGATGAAAATCAAAATCATTAATTCTTGCAGGAAACAAAGAAAGGGCATTTTTAGCCACCAAATGGACCGCCCGATTGTTTTGTCTTCTGATGAATTCCACCACAAAGCGAACATAATACTGCACGAGCCAATCAATTTGCTCGAAAATGATACCAACTTTGACATCCTGTATCTCTTTCCCCCTTATCTTATCGAGAACTATTTTTGCATCCTCTTGAAACACCACCTTAGTGAGACCTTTCAAAGAGCACCAGCGAATAGCATGTCGGAGCACCAGCTGTTCCACGACATAGGGATCATGAATACATGCATAAAGAAATCCCTGCACAAAAACCATTTTACCCGTTTTATATTGCACTATTAACCCCCTAGTAGAATGCGAGATAGAACTAACAACACCATCCACAAAACACACGAATGCTATCATATTTTGAGCCTCGTGGCTACAAGTGGAGGATTCGATGGCATTGGAAGAGCTAACTACTCCCGAACCTGATCTTGGTATTGTCACAAGAGAACGAAACTCATGTACTGGACATGATCGAACACAACCCAATTTTGGGCTTTCCAAATGCGCCACAGTAACGCAATAAGTCTCATGATTCGCTCAGCTGAGGAATCACATTCTGGACATGATCGAACACAACTCAGTTTCGGGCTTTCCAAATGCGTCCTATTCAAGTCTTCCAGCCCTAGCCGAGCTAGACCAACGTTGCTTCCTTCCCACAACTCGACCATCAACCTGCACTAAATGAACAAATATTCAAGAGATTCTAAAGGTTCTCAATACATCGGGCAAAGTGGTAGACATGAAATCCCTTTCTCCCGACAATCTTTTGTCGTGGGTAGAATACTGCGAAGTAATTGCCAAAGAAAAAACTTGAGTTTGGGCGGGATAGGGAATCCCCAAACTCGCTTCCAGATCACTGTATCGACAAATAATAATTCAAATTTCCACCCTGGCTCCCTACGTCTATATTGAATGGCCATGTGATACCCGAACCGAACCGATTAAAGTCCATCTGATTCTGCAATCCAAACTAGTCAATCCATTATCGGCAACCTTGGCAGCAAAAGACAAGCAATCTGCCGACGTAGGTCAGGTTGAAAGCATTGCTCCAAACATTCCTCACATTACTCGCTTGTTCCTGGATTTATCAATGCAAATATGTTTCCCCACCCGACAGAGGAGCTTGCAGTTTCAAATGTCTTGACACAATATTAATTCTAGGAATCCAACTATCTTCCAAATTGCGTACTAAAGCCCCACTACCAATCTGCCACCACAAGCTTTTCTACAACAAGTCTCTTCCATATAAGTTTTACGCCAACCCAAAGACGTTCATGAACGACCTGTCGCCTTTAGAAGAGAAGAGTATGGAAAATACTTTCCTATCAGAACCTGAGTTAACAAAGAATGTGAATCATTAAGCAATCTCCAGATTGCTGTTACTAGTAATGCTTGATTGAAGTCCTAAATCCGCAAAATCTAGGATCCCCGTTAAACTTAATGCGACAAATTTTTTCCATGACACCCAATGAGGCTTGTCTCCTTTGAACGAAAATCCCCACCGGAATCGTGCCATATGCTTATCCAAATTCTGACAGAGAGTAAAAGGCAATAAAAAATACGACATAATGTGTATAGGTAAGGCAGCTGCTAAGACGTTAAGTACGGTCTCTTTCGCCGTCCAAAACAAGCGTCTTTGTTTCTATCCTTGTATCTTGCTCCATAGTTTCTCTTCCAAATACTAGAAGGACTCTGTTTTAGATCAATAAATTAAAGTAGGCAATTCTAAGTATTTATCATGTACATCCATAGCTCCAACCCCCAAAATAGTCATCATCTCTTGGTGATCTAAAACATCCACATCATGACTGAAACATACAGTAGATTTCAAAAGGTTAACTTTCTTTTCATTGAGGATTTGCTACTCATTGAGTACCTGTAACATAATATTGCATTTCTAGTTTGATGTTTTTAGGGAAAAAATAAGAATCCTCTGCGTAGAACAAGTGAGAAACACTTGGACTACGTAGACTCACTTTGATCCCTTTCAAAAGCCCTTTAGTTACTGCTTGACTTAATAATGCTTCGAAACCTTCAATGTAAATTACGAACAGAAGGGGTGATAAATGATCCCCTTGTCTCAACCCTCTTTGAGATCGAAAGTAATCGGATGATTTTCCATTCATTTTGACTGAAAATGTTGCAGAAGATAAACATTCCTTAATCTAACCAATCCATTGCGCACTAAATCCCATTTTCGCTAGAAGTGCAAACAAAAAGGACCACTCGATTATATTATAGGCCTTTTCCATATCAACCTTCAAATCCATATAACCCTTTTTACTTTGCCTCTTTAGCTTAAGATAATGCATAATCTCGTGCCCTATTAGTACATTGTCAACAATCTTACGATCTCGGATGAACCCATTTTACTTTGGTGAGATAATTCGGGGCAAATGAACAGTCATCCTTTTTGCCAATATTTTTTATATAATCTTATAAAACAGTTGACAAAGACCAATCGTCCGAATTTGTTCCATTGATTCCACCGCATCCACCTTAGGGATTAATGTCAACCAAGTATGGTTGAAGCTTTTCGGTATCCTGCTTGTCAAGAAAAAAGACTGCAATTCCTCAATCGCTGATTGTCCAACAATATCCAAATATGCTCTATAGAATTTTCCAGTGAACTCATTAGACTCGAGAGCTTGTGTTGGCCATATTGAGAAAATTGCCCTCCGGATCTCATCCGGGAGCACCGTTGCAGTTAATCTAGTATTAATCTCCATCATGACAACCAAATCAATAGGCAGTGATGCAACTCTCTCCTCCATATTCTCGATCTCTGTTTCAATATGGAATAGGGTCTCATAAAAGTCCACATCCACATTGGCTTTGTCAATCTCATCTGCAACCCATCTACCATTTGCATCTCTCAATCCTTCTATATGATTTCGCCCTCATCTAGTACGAGTCATCATATGAAAGTATGAGGAATTCTGATCCCCTTCCTTCAGCCACCTTACTCTTGACTTCTGTATAAAAAATTTAGGATAAATACAATACATTAGCCACAACTATTATGAATCGGGAAATTATAGCCACAATTATTGTATTACAAATTATTAGCCACAATTACTGTTTCGCAGAAACGGATGGCTAAAACGGCATTAATAGGTCAAGTTTTGTAACGGAGCTGACCACGTCAGCTGCCACGAAGGATTCCACGCCGGATTAATATTAATCTTTTGTTTTCTTAATTTTTTTACCACTTTTCACCCTTTATCAATTAAAAGCTTCCTCGTAAAACCTAGGCTGGCTAATGGGCTAGGAGAGTGCAGCGACGACACGCAGTGAGAGGAGTTCGCCATCGTCGCTACCGCCGATTTCTGCAACCTTCCCCCACATTTTGCCCCTTCTTCCCCATCCATTGTCTCAGCGTCAGAGCAATTGAAGGAACTTTCGTTTTCAAATCACGAGGGTAAGTTGTATTAACCCTGCCTCTTTCCATCATCTGGTTTGAAATAGGTTGTAGATTGTAAAGGGAGGTGCTGAAACTGGGTTATGATTTTCGAATGGGATGCTTGTAGTTAGTAAGAAGAATCATGTCTACATTTGATGGCTCTTCTAGTTCGGCCAACACAAATGAAGTTGTCGGGCCTCTATGCAATCATATAAAGCCTTGCATCGTGAATAAGTCCGGTATTAGTAGGAATGCAGGAAGACAGTTCTATTGTTGTCCATATTGGAAGGTATTCTATTAGTTTGTGACATTGGGTTGGTTGTATACCTATGTATTCATCTTAGTAATAGCTTTCTTTTCATTTCCAGACATATGATTGTCGATTCTTCCTATGGATGGACAAATATATGAGAAGGATTGCATCAATGTGGTCTGCACATGACAATGAGAAGGCTGGAATCATGGCAAAACTTATGGAAGTCGAAGCAAGCAATCACAAGTTGTTATAAGAGTTGATTAGAACTAGAGAAGCTCATGCAAGGATGATTTCCGAGTTGAGTATAATGAGCATTGTTATGCAAAGTCTTGACAACAGGATAATAA